GCCTCCGGTGGAGCTCCCTATGGGGCCACGAAGCGCTGTCCTGGGCGGGGGGGGCGCACGCGAACACCCCCACGGGGGCCTTCGGTGGAGCTCCCTATGCGGTAACGAAACGCTGTCCTGGGTGGGGGGGACGCACGCTGACGGGCGGGGGGCTAATTCCGCATGCAAGGCGAGCCTGCCTGTGTCTGGAGTTGAGGGTTGATTCATGATCAGATATTGCCCACTCTTCTCGATCGCGCATCATAAGCGACTCGACCTGGCACAAAAGCCACCGATAAGTGCGCATCCCTGTGCCTGGAGGATCTGTCGACAACTCATACCATTGCATTGCATAGTGAAGCCTCGGAACCTGCTTGACTTGTTCGTAGAAATGCGCATGTATTGAGGCTTCATGTCACCCAACAGTTCCCTGGCGCCATGCAGTTTCTGGTGCGCTCCATCCAGTCACTACAAAATGATATAAATCCTGGTTGGGCTTCTGTCGGTCAACCGTTACCATCCAGTGTTGTCCGCTTTCGGACCTGACAGAGCACCAAACACATATGGCGCAAATCATTCCTCGGCCCGTAAGAAGACGCCCCTCTATCTGGCAAGAATGCGCTTCATCTCGGCAATCTGTTCGAATGGATTTGCGGCGATCACCATATCAAGACGCATCGGCGCTCAGGAGCCCCGACGGCTCTCCTTCGGCAACTCGGGCCTCATTGCTTCAGTAATCCACGTTTGTGCCGCCTTGACATCATGCCATGACCCGGATGCTGCCCCAATGCAACGTCGTTCCAATTCACGCAGTATCTGGACACTCGGGATGTCTAGAAGGTTTAGCTCTTCATTGTTTCTAAGCTCCTCCAATTCGCATCCATTTGGCCAGTATTGAACGGCTGCATAGTTGGGCCACGGCGACCATTCGGCCCTCCACCGCCACCCCCGTCTGGGTCACCTCCGCCGCCGGGCCCCGAAGGAAGGCCCTTGGGTGGCTTTGGATTACCCGTCTCGTCAAATTATATTGCTGCAATCATGCCGGCACTGGGCGCTGTGCTCCGATCATCTCTGGCCGTCACCATGTCCGCCCGGTTCTCCGCCTCTTCCACCAGGCACAGGTGAGCCGACGGCGAAAAGGAGGCGACCAGGCAAATCGAAGTTGCCAGGAGGCCCTGAAATCTTAGCGTTGGATGGGATATTCCCAAAGCTCTTTTCCCTACTAACGCACTCTTGCATCGAACCTCCACTGGCATCGAGAGGTTTCTCAACAGCTGGCCCCGGAATGAATGTGACTTTGCGAGAGAATGCGCGGGCGCTGGCGGGGCTGTCAATAGAGGCATTTGATCAAATATCTGATTTGGTCGATTTGAATATACCCATCAGATCGGCGAGATTGCTCACTCGTCGTTCCGATCCACCGCCTTTCGGCACATCCGAGCGACTCGGCGCCGTCTGTTCGGGGTCGCCTTTGGCGCGGGGAGGGCCACGCGCGCCAAATGGCCCCCCCCCTCTCGAGATCGCCCTGTCGCCCGAACTCTTTGTTCCAGGCACGCCCCGCGCACCTTTTGGCAATCGCGCCCAGATGATCACAGCGCGCGGGCTTCGAACACCCCGCGCAAAACTCGACGAAAGGCCCCGAACAAACGTAACAATACTGACCTGCGCTGCCTGTTCGTATCTGAGCCTGATCGCCGCCACTCTAACGCGCAGGGCGAGCAGCAGTCGGGCGCGGAGGCGGCTCAACATGCATCGGCTGCGCCGGCGGGCCCGCATCTGCCGGCGAAGCCGCGGGCGCAAACTCAGCCCCCGTCGGAACTTCTGTCGAACGCGGCCCGGTCGTCCGAACCCAGCCCCGCGACCCCCTGTCGATCCGTTGCTGTTCCAGTGGTCCAGGTCAGATCTTAGCCTTCTGCCCCCTTCGCCCACTACGCGAGCGGCAAGAACAGCGCTTGCATTTGCTCATCTGCTTGCCCTTTCAGATGGCCCCAGGCCACGGCCATTTTCCTTCGGCCCTCATTCCTGATTGCCTGTGCCTTCTGCTCATGCTCTCGAAGGGCTCGCAGAGCCCCCGATTTCACTTTTGCAGCCTGGATCCTAGCAGCTTCGAGTTGATTACGGAGCTCCTGATTTTCACGTGATGCTTGTTCTCGAGCCTCTTTCTCTCCTTGCCTCCTGGCAGCGTCAGCAATTTCTCTGCATTCGGTTTTTCTTTCTCAGCCTGCCGATAAGAAGCTGACACATGTTGTTCAGCCATATGTCGCATGTCTCTTTTCTCGTTCTCCTCTTGTGCAAGACGCCGCTGGGCCACGTCCGCATTTCCTGATGCACTAGCACCTGCTTGCTGCGTCCGTCTCTGCGCATCTTCCACAATGACAATTCTCTCTCGCTCAATATTTTGCGGCGCTGCCTGTCTTTCTGCTTCAGATTGCGCCGGCATCCGCTCGGCTTCCTCAGCGGCCCTCTCACCAACATGTGCCTCGAGGATAATTTGCTGTATATGCGCACTCGCAGCTCTCAATGGTTTTCGATCCTGACTATTTTTCTCTTCCCACTCTTGGATGGCCATGCGACGGCAGTTGCGCCCCTCCACTTCGATGCATTCTCCGCAAAGCCATGCAAAACTACACTTGGGACATACATTCGAAAAGCGCGAACGCACTGGCCGCGGGCACGGCCCCCCCCCCCAGCTCGCTCGCTCTTCTCGGGCATCGGTTCTCCCTTATCGAGAAGCTACTGGCGGTTCTATTTGACGAGAACCCAGGTGCCTCAAAGGCATTGAATCCTCTGGAGCTGGAGCGCCCAGCCCTGGGGGCCTTCCTGCGCCCCCTGCTGGAGGCAGGAGTATGCTGTTCCCTTTCCTTGCACCCTTCGCAATGAAATCAACGTCCTGATTTTGAGTTAGCTCGTCTTTTACGCCCTGCATCACCAGTTCATCAAGTTCTTGCACCCTGCCCCTGCTAGACCTCGTCGATGTGAAGTCTGGTCGATGAGAGCCTTCTGGCCAAGAGGGAGCATTCAGGTCGTCATCCTCATTCTTATTCGGCTTCTTTATCTGTGGAAGTGGAGTTGCGCCTGTAGGCTCTCTTGCATGCCTGACTGCGCGCAAGACTTCGGGCGAGTTCGACATCGGCTGAGCCGACGAACCCTTACCTTGATCTGGGCTTCTTTCATCCCCAAAATCATCATCCGAATCCAAAAAAACCTTCTGGACTGCATCGACCGTTGCATTGTCAACTGTCTCGTTCTCAGACAGGTCCACGCCTGGGGCGAGCCCGTCAAACCCATCAGCGACGGGATTATGATGGCGCGATGGGCCAGGCGAGGTATGAAATTGGGCGTACTCTTCATTCCTCTCAATTGAATGCGAGATGTTCCTTTCTGATTGTAGATCGCTCACTTCCTCGCCCTGACTACGAATATCAAATTGTGCTGTCTCTTTAGTGCTACAATTACCCGCATCGAACGTTTCTCTGGGTATACGTTCCAACAACTTCTCCATCTCATGGTCTAAGTCAATTGATGGTTGAGAAATCGGGTGCGCCGGTACTGAGTCAGATGGTCCCCCAGCGGAAGTTTTGGCTGCGCCATGCCTCCCGCCCGGGGCTCAGTGCCACCGAATCAACTGGAGAGCCCCCTTCTGTTAAATCGAACACAGTTTTCGACGCTTGCCTTCTCTGGGAAGCGGAGAGGCTTAGGACGCCTCATAGAGGCGCCTGCATCATCAATACGCTCGGAACGATAACGGTCTTCTTTTATTCCGACCGCTCTGTCCTGTGATCCCATGCTCTGCGAAGCTAACGGCTGCGCCGCCGCTTCGGAGGATAACGCATATGTTGGATGAAACTTCATAATTCCTGCTAGATGCTCCGCTGATATATCATGTTCACTGGGCTTCGCGGACTACATGGGAAGAAAGGATAATGCCGTTAAGCTAGCAATAAAGTAACCCTGAAGGGAAGAGGCCGGCCCGCTGGCCGACGCACGCGCGCGCGACGAAGGCACGCTCCTTTCTGTTTCCCTAGAGCCAAACAGCTGCAGGTAAAACATGAAAGTCGCAAAGTGAGACAGACAGTGCAAGCAAGGCTAGAGAGCAGGACGGGCAGCAGAGTGGTGGTGCGGAAGGAGTGCATTGACTTCATCAGTAACATCATCTGCAGCATCAGCATCACCACCGTCATCCGACCCAGCATCATCAGCATCAGCATCAGCATCATCATGATCACCGTCATCGTATCAAACAGAAGTATCGTCATCAGCATCATCACTGGCAGCATCACCGTCATGATCAGCCGCATCATCAACAGCAGCATCGTATTAATGATCATCGTCCACATCAGCATCGTCGTCGTGATCGTGGTTATTCGCAGCAGCATCGTAGCATCGCCATCATCATCACCATACGTAATCAGCATCATCACAATCGTCTCCAGCAGCATCAGCATCATCATCACCAGCATCATCATCATCATCATCAGCATCAGCATCGTCATCGTAATCAGTATGGTCATCAGCATCAGCATCATCGTCGTCATCATGATCAGCAGCATCGTCATAATCAGCATCATCATACTCATCGTCATCCGCATCCTATCCTTCTCAGCATCATGGCCATCATCATCATCATCATCATCATCATCATCATCATCATCATCATCATCATCGTCATCGTCATCATCATCGTTGTCCTCGTCCTCGTCGCCAGCGTCAGCGTCATCATCCTGATCAGCAGCAACAACAACACCATCATGATCCGCCTTCATCACTCCTCCTCCTCCTCCTCCTCCTCCTCCTCCGCGTCATCATCATATTTCTCCGGTTACTACCATCACCGTCACCACAACAGCCGGCATCCTCACATCCTCACTCGTCATCCTCGGCATCCGCCTCCTCATCCTCCTCCAACTCCTCGTGCTCCTCCTCCTCCCCTCATCCCTCATCCCCTCACCATCCCTCGTCCCCCTTTCTCCTCCTCGCCATCCCTCTACACCTCCCTGGCCATCGCCTCCCCGACGCCGCGCCTGCTTGATAGCGGAGATGTAGCTCTCGAGCTCCGACTTCGTGGCTGCGAACGCAGCCGCCTCCTTCTCCTCGCGCAGTGGAGGGAGGGAATTCGCGTCTTCACGCGTAATATCGTCCTCAGTGCCGCCATCATCCTCACCACCACCACCGCCACCACCACCGTCATCAATGCCGCCATCATCCAAATATGCATCGCCACCACCACCACCACCGCCACCGCTACCATCATCATCATCATCATCATCATCATCAGCAGCAGCAGCAGCAGCATCAGCAGCAGCATCATCAGCATCATCATCATCACTGGCAGCAGCATCATCATCATCATCAGCATCATCATCAGCATCATCATCATCAGCATCATCATCACCACCGCCACAACCATCCCATCATCATCATCAGCATCATCATCATCATCATAATCATCATCATCATCAGCATCAGCATCAGCATCATCATCAGCAACATCAGCATCATCATCAGCATCATCTTCATCAGCATCATCATCAACATCATCATCCGAGGAACCATCATCATCATCAGCATCATCATCAGCATCATCAGCATCATCAGCATCAACATCATCAGCATCAGAATCAGCATCACCATAGATCATCATCATCACTATCCCCCTGATCAGCCTTATCAACAGCATCCTCATAATCGTCACCATGTTAGCCGTCAGGAAAAGCGGTGACGTCAAAATCATCAGCATCAGCATCATCAACAGCAGCATCTTCAGCAGCAGCAACAGCATCATGAACATCGGCATTAACATCATCATCGTCATCACAATCGTCATCAGCATCATCAGCATCATCAGCATCGTCATCATCATCATCAGCATCAGCATGAGCATCGGCATAATCGTCATCATCATCATCCGCAGCATCAGCAGCATCAGCATCACCATCATCAGCAGCATCAGCATCAGCATCAGCGGAAGCCGCATCATCAGCAAGAGCAACATCAACAGCAGCAGCATCATCATCAGCAGCAATACCATCATCATATGCATCAACAGTATCGCCGTAATCATTATATCCATCACCTGTATCCTATAAGTCGGCATGGTCATCAGTGCCGCAATCTTCATCCCCATATTATCCGCATCAGGATAACTGTCGGCGGCAGCATCGCCAGCGTCGTCATCATCCTCGGCATCATGATCGCCCGCATCAGCATCATCATCAGCATCAGCATCAGCATCATCATCGTCGTCATCATCAGCACCATCAGCAGCATCGTCGTTATCAGCATCAGCATAATCGTCAACACACGCTCATGGCTATCGTCATCAATGTCAGCATCATTGGTTACATCGTTGACGTCGCCATCGTGGCCGTGAACATCGGCGTCGACATCATCAGAATCATCACTTGCGTCAGCATCGCCGACATCGTCGTCGGCATTAGGATCAGC